TTGGTTATAATAGGTTGCAAGTAGACTGTTACTCAAAGCGAGGCTCAGGTCTTATTTATCTCTGCATCTCTAGGGCCTAACCCCGTGCCTCACACATAGAGTGGGCGTGCATGTTATATATGTTATATGAACCAGATAAATAATTAAGAGTCAGAAATCACACAATGATAACACAAATTTCATAGAATCTGAAATATGTGGACCATTTAATTAAGAAGAAAGGGTTCTAATATAAACTCAGTTCCAACTTAATACACCAGGTGCCCATGATAAAATATAAAGAATATATTCATGATCATGGATAGACTTTGTTACAAAGACAGGAAAGGAATTATGACATTTCAGAAAAAAAGTCTATCAACACTGATCAAAATAGAGATTTAACATCTAAAAAGTAAAGTTTACTTATTCATCCTAGTTTACTCCCTGAGGAGAATTAATAAATTATGTGTGTACATGGATATGAATGAAGTAACAGAAATCATGGAGTTTAGTCTGAACAGATTTGTAACTGAGGCTCATTTCTATTTTAGTCCTACTTCTCTCTCTAAAGATCTATACAATCTTGGCAAAATTATTTAAACTATTCACTCTTTATGGGTTTATATAAAAATGGGACACTGATACTTACTTTATGGAAGTGCTGGGAGAATCAAATGAGGTCATAAATATGAAAGAATTCTGTGAACTTCAAAGAGCTATAGAAATATCAGGGATGAAATGATGCAAATGAAGCACTTTTTACCACGATGCCCATCACATCTAAAACTCCCAAATGTTAGCTCCCTCCCCGCAGAAACACACAGGTATGCATGTGAACACATGCTCACACACACATTCATATATGTGTACACACCTCTTTAAATGCGTCTTCTTAAAAGTTCAGTTCTGTGTGCCTCCTGCCAGCTGTACAGCCTGGGCCCAATTTTATCTCTCCTGCCACTCTCCTCCTCTCTTTTTTTCCCCAGAAACATGTGTCCCCATTAATAAAATATTTTATTCTATTTATCATTGGGAGTATTGCAGCTATTTTCTCCTCTAATCCATCATGGGTTGCAATCAGGATATGTGAAAAAAAAATATCAAGTACAACTTGCTTTTCTCTGAAGAAGCTATAGAGTCATCACTGAGAAAATCAGAAGTTTTAATATCCATAATCGTCTTTTAAATAATTTTTTTCTAAAAGATAAATTTTGAAATAATTCTTGATTTTTATAGGTCTAGCTATCAAGTGGTCAATTTTAAGTCTGTCAAAGTCATTGCCCTGGTTATGGCTTAAAACATTAATCCAGCATTAATACAGTTTCCTTCCAAAGAGGGACTTTAGGGCTGGAGATGTAGCTCAGTGGTAGAGTACTTGCCTGGCATGTTTGAGGCCTTTGGTTCAATCCTCAGTACTTAAAAACGAAACAAACAAACAAAACCAGACTTTTCTTAGTGCAGTTTTAAGTGGCTGATTATCGTAAATATTTGATAAACAGTCAACTGAGTTTTCGGAGCAAGGGAGCAATGTTTAGACAATTCTATAATGGGAGATGGTCATCTCTACTCTGTTATCCTCTGCTAGCTGTCTTTAGATGAAGGAATTCTATAAGGCAGAGGGAATATGATAGGATGTATCCATCAAAAAATAATAAGCCTTGAGAACCTTGGACAAGACCTTATACTTAATAGGTCTTTGCATGTTCATTCATCCAAAGGTAAATTTAGCACCTACTTTTGCCGAGCTAATACTCAACATAATAATAGGCAGACAGAGGTGAATAACCCCCTGCCCTCCCAACACTTCTGGCTTCTTCAGGCTGGTGTGTTTCTACTTAGGCTCTTCCTATTCCCTAGATCACCCTCCCTCACCTGCCACAGACATCAATCAACCCAACCCAACACCACACAAAGTTAATTACACATGAATTCACTATGATTTTTTTTCCTGACCTCCTAAGTAGATGTGACTAGTTCTTCTTTAAAAAAAAACAAAAACAAAAAACAATACTCTTGACCCCAAACAACAATTTTGTACATGCACTTAAAGCAAATTTTTGTGTTGCTTCTTTTGACTGTCAATCTCCATTGAACTGTGAATCACATTGAAACAGAGTTTCCACATTACTCATCCTTGGAACCTCAGAACTAGTGAATTGCTTGACATGTCGTGCTTAAGAAATGAACATAGACTGATGCAGGGGGAATAAATAAATTATTACAGGAATTATTTTTCTCCTGATGAACAAACGAGCTGAACAGCAACAAAAGTACTAAGTGAATAGATGTATTTGTAATATGCAATGGAGGAAAGAGAAACATGGGTATTGGAAGAAGAAGAAGAAGAAGAAGGAGGAGGAGGAGGAGGAGGAGATGATAAAATCAACAAAGATAATAAAAATAGCCCCACATCAGCCAGCAACACAGATATTATGAATAAATTATAGGAGGCAACACCAAATGACTCACTGTTCCTGACTCATGCTGCTGAGAGGGCCGATGATGATGATCACTGAGACCTACCCACTCTTATACTCTTACACACTCTTATACTGTCACTTTCCAGTTATCTCCTCCTGTGAGTCCAAAGACCTGCAAAGCATGTGAACGACTACCACTGGTGGGTTACTCACTCACCTACTCCTACAGGGAGAGGCAGGAATGGTGTTTAAACACCTAGGGAATGAGGAGAAAGAGATGGGAAATGTTCAAAAAAAAAAAAAAAACCAAACTTGCCCTCTGATCCCTCAAATTCTCAGCTGGGACCACCTGCATCTTCTCATGTTCTCCAACTTAGTAAAAAAATAGCAGTGCCCATGTAGGTAAAAATGGACAGGGTAGTGAGGCCCGGGGGCACGTGCATGTAATCCCAGTGACTCAGAAGGCTGAGGCAGGAGAATTGCAAGTTTGGGGCCAGCCTCGTCCCCTTAGTGAGACCTTGTCTCAAAGTGAAAAATAAAAAAGGGCTAGGGATGTAGCTCAGCGGTAGGATGCCCCTCGATCCGATCCCCAGTACCACCAAGAGGGGACAAATGGACAGGGTTCAAATGATGCTTCTTTAAGAGAGTTTAAGGAAATGTGGAAACCAAGTCTATGAAGAGAAGTTGCATCTTGTCTCATTTCTCTTTGGATTTGAGGGAAGAAATACTTAGACTATAGTGGGGGAAAGCACATCCATATTTACATTCAAAATGTAGTGAATAATTTCAAAGTGTTCAAAACCCTCTAACACTTAAGTCTTAACACCCCAAGGTAACAATGAGCCTCAGATTGAGGCACCTCTTCTAGAAGGATATCAAGAGCTAGTTCAAGGTCATCAGCTATTTTATCACTCAACTGGCACAGCCTGCCACAAAGGACAATTGCAGAGGACCCTATACGTCCAACTTTTGACCTCCTCACATAGGAATCTACAGGACAGAGAGAAAAGCACACGTCACCTCGAAGATGCTCAGTCCTACTTCTGAGACTCAGAATAGAAAAATAAAACTGAAAAATAAGGAATGGGAACTGACATGGGGATGGGATAGAAGCAGGTGCCATGAGTGTGTGAAAACTTTTGTTTTCGCTTAAGAAAGTACCTGTGTCACTTGAGAAATTATATTTCCATTCTGTCTCAGAGATAAACTCTGGAGGGAATACCACAAAACAAAATGCTCCCACAATCTACCCCATTTGCAATATAAAATAACATAACATGGTTATGTTTACTTTAATATAAACAAGTTCCTGGAGAAGTATAAAGTTTGCACTATTTATTGCATGAATGAAAATTAATGGCATTTAATTTGAACTCTGGAATTAGCACAATCCATACCTAAGACAATGGCATTGCAGGTTCTCTATAAAAATAAAAAATCTTTCAAGTGTCCATAGGTTAAAAGGAGGAGTCTTTATGAAAAGTGTATATGGATTTTAAAATGTAGGTATTGAAAACTGTAGTTATGTTCTTTTCCTGCTTAGCCTCTAGGGAATAGCAGAGATTTTTTGCCTTTACTGCAGAGAAAAAGAAATACACATAGAAATGGATATTATTAAAGAGCTAATATTGCTGGATAATGAAAGGGATCTTTTCTTTCTTTTCTTTTCTTTTGGAAACTTCTTCATTTTTCAATTAACAAGAATTAAGAAAATATTTTCTAAAATGACTGTTACATAGAGCATTTTTTTTTTAACTTTGGACAAGGAAAACTCTTTCTCAAGAAAGAAAGCTCTTTCTCATTTCCCTCTCAAGAGGGAAATGAAAGCTGCTATTTTCCTAAGCCCCCTACCACCTACATTCCAATGACCTGTGCTCCATAGCCCTATACCAGACCAGGTCAAGGATGTGACTGTCAGAGACTTCAGACCGAGTGGGAGCCAAAAGAGGTCTCCAAGTCAAAACCAAATGACTCTCATTCCTGGTAACAAAACATCAGGAGCAGAAACCCTGCTTTCTGCCATCCCCAGAATATTAAGAAGAAAAATACGTCTGCTGTCTGACATTATTCTAGCCAGATGCTGTATTTGATGAACATTTGTGCTGCGGCTTATTTGTAAGTAGACACACATCACACTGGGTTGAAGGTCTCCTGACAAAAATGTTTAAATCTGTTAAGAAACGCTTCTGCCCACAGCTCTGAGTAGGGCATCCTTGACCTCCTTGTTCCTCAGACTGTACACCACAGGGTTCAGGAGGGGAGTGATGATGGTATAGGTCACAGAGAGAAGAAGGTCTTTTTCTACAGAACTCTCCGACTTGGGCTTGAGGTAGGCTATGGAGGCACAGCCGTAATGGACAATGACCACGGTCAGGTGGGAGGCGCAGGTGGCGAAGGCCTTCTTCCGACCGTCAGCAGTGGCGATTTTAAGAATGGAATAGATGATCAGGATATAGGAGATGGTTATGAGGCCTATGGGCACAAGAATCACAAATGAACTCACACCATAATTAATTATCTCATTGACAGTGGTATCAACGCAAGAAAGTTTCATGACTGGGTGAATGTCACAGAAGAAATGATCCACCACTGTGCCACAGAAGGGCAAATTAAACATGGCTGTCACCTGAAGAGTCGCCATCATCAGGCCGGTGCCAAAGGACCCACATACCAAACTGGTGCACATTCTTTTGCACATGATGACCGTGTACCTCAGGGGCGCACAGATGGCCACAAAGCGGTCGTAGCCCATTGCTGTGAGAAGGAAGCAATTATTAATTGCTAAGGTGACGAAAAAGAACATTTGAGTCGCACAACCTGGTAAGGAGATGGGCTGGTTATAAAAAACCAGACTGGAAAGCATTCGTGGGACAATGACCAGTGTGTATACCGTCTCTGAACTCGCCAGCATGCTCAGGAAGAAGTACATGGGAGTGTGGAGGTGACGGTCAATGCAGGTGATGGTCACAATGATGATGTTTCCAGCCAGAGTGAAAATGTAGACGGTTAGGAAGACCACAAAGAGGGTTGTTTGATGTTTTCCGAAGCTAGAGAATCCCAAGAAGATGAATTCTGTCACTTCCGTGAGGTTCTTTCTCTGCATTCTGCTCTATCAGGGTCTGAAAGCAATAAAACAAATCATCAAGGGGAAACTTCTCATCAGCAACTGGATTTTAAAACAAAGGACAATGATGGCTAAACTGAGAGAGTGAGCTTTTCCCTCCTTTGTGACCGGCAAGTTCTTGTTTTGGGTCCTTGCACAGAGAGAGAGAAAATGTTTTTATGCTTCTTTCAATGTATACATGTGAACGCTATCCCTGCAGAGCAAACTTTTGGCACAGGGAGATTTCTGAGCACATGAGCATCTCACAGACACTTCTGATGTCAGAAAGGGAAGGGAAACAGCGAGGAGAAAGTCAGGTTCTGTTCCAATGCATAACAATATAGAGCGCTCAAACCCTCTTAACAAGAACGATTAAAGTGCATGTCAAGGAAGCCATAAAGATAAGTGTTTGGGAACAAAACGATATAGCAGTATGAAGTCTGCAAGCTAGACAGACTTTGCAAAGCGGTTGTTGGATTTGACAATAAGATCCCCAGTAACCTTTTCCATGGTGTTTAGATTGAATTCTGAATGTAAGAACTTGATTTCGGAGAGGTAATAGGGTCCAGATGTTTCATCAGACCCTCAAAGCAGAACAATGACAAAACGTCTTCTGCAATGATCAGTCCACCGAAATTGATCACTCCAGTCCCATCAAAAAAAAAAAAAATCTCTTTTGTTGATTTCAGTAGTCCTTTTGAATGAGTCAGGAAGACAGGGTTGTGATTGAGAACTGAGAAAATATTGTTTAGTTTTAACTGGAAGACAACTTGAGACATAGACAAGGAAATATAAACTCCACAGTTGAGGAGGACAGATTCTGCCAACAGTTTGGAACCCAACTGACAGCTATTTTTAAAAATTTGATGAACGGATAATTTGATCTAATTATAGGAAGCACCACACACTAATCCCCTTTGTTTGGAAGTGAGCACACATACCCTCCCTTTGGGAGGTTGAGGCAAGATGATCACCAAATTCAAGGCCAGACTGGACAGCTTACAGAGACCCCACCTCAAAATTAAAACTAAGAAGGTCTCGGGATGCAGCTCCGTGCCACTGGGACCCTAGGTTCAATCCCCAATGATTTAAAAAAAAAGTGGGGGAAGCATATATATGTTATATGGAGACCATGCAGCTGATCCTGCGGCTCTCTACAGTGATGGTTTCATTGATCTCTCCTCATTTTCAGAATAACTGAAATAGGCTTCCCTCCCTCATCCTCCATAATTCTTTCCAAGTTGGCGTGAGCATGATCATGCTCGAGAATCTGTTTGCTCACATGTGGCTGAAGATGTGTCCATTGCTAAAACTGTTAGACCTTGCTTTTTCATGCCTCTCTGCATCGTTTGATGTTTCTGACCCCTGCCTCCTGGAAACATTCTCTGACCTTGGTCTCCATGATGACACATCTCTTGCCCATTTTTCCAGCACTCACGCAGTTACCTTCCACCAACCTGCTCAGGCCACCCACAGCATGATTACCATCTCCTGTCCTCTGGTTGACCCTTGGCCCTTGCTTTTTCTCTTTCCATAATATCCCTCACATTTTTTTTCCTGTTATTTCTGTTATTGCTCAACTCTCTATTTCTATCACCAATCTTTTCCCCATTTCTCCAACTTACCTCTCTCTTGGCTTTTCTATCTGTGTGTCTTGCCATCATAATAAATTTTATACTTTTGAAAGTGAACTAAACACCAACATTTTTCTGGTTTTGTGACCCTCCTCAATGACTTCATCAGAGTTCCAACCAATCAGTAGTTGTCAGTATTTTGGAGCCACATCTACTCAACATCACATTCAGTGGAATTTTTCCTTAAAGTAGATCTCTTTTCTGTCCAAATTTCTAGATCCACAATGACCCACTTCAGATTGGGGAACCCAATTCTCTATTCAGGATAATAAAACATGTTCCCACTCTAAAATGCATATGGCTACACAGAGGATTAAGCAAGCAAACCAGTTTTGAAAAATAAGTACAAAATGAAAAGACTCACCCTAATTCATTGAGAGATTCTAGTAATCAGGACAGTGTGGTATCAGGTGCAGGACAGACAATGAAAGAAAATGTAGAGTCCAAAAACAGAACCAGAATTATATGTTCAATTCATTTTTCCATAAAAATGGAAGGCATCTCAATGGTAGTATTTTCAACAAATGTCGGTAGAACACGTAAACATTCACATGGGGGAAAAAAATCAATCTCAAACTTTACACAAGACAAACACAAAATAACCCGATATGAATCACAGAAATGTATAAGAGAGAAAACTACAAAAGATCTAGATGAAAATAAAGGATGAAATCACCATGACCTTAAAATAAGCAAAGAGTTCTTGGGTAACAAAAAGCATAATTCATAAAGAACAAGATCACAAACTGAACTTTATCAGAACTAAAAGCTTCTACTTTTCAAAAGACATTGTTGAAAACAAACAAACAAAAAGATAAGCCCAGAGTAGGAAAAACCATTCATCATAAATAAATCAAAAATTGTATCCAGAAAATATATAAAGAATTCTTGTAACTCAATAATAAGACACATTGGTAAATTGGCAAAATATTTAAATAGACATTTCACAAAAGAATATATAGAAATAATCATCATGAAAGGATGCTCAACATCATTAGTCATCAAAGAAAAGTAAAATAAAACCAGAATGAGACACCTCTACAAACCGACTCAAACAACTAAAATTAAAAAGCCTAACAACACCTAATGTCCGTAACAAAGTGAAGGAATTGGAGTCTTTCATATTGCTAGAGGGAATGTAAGTGGTATAACTAATTTGGAGAACAATGTTGCCGGTTTTTTTAGAAAGTTAAATCTATACTTAATCTATGCTTCAGAAATTTTCCTAAGTATTTACACAAGAGAAATAAAAACATGTTCACATAGAGATATTTGTGTGGATATTCCTAGCATCTCTCTTTCGAAAAGCCAAAGACTGCCAACAACCTAAATGTCCAAATTATGATGAATCTATATAATAAAATACTGCTCAGGAATAAAAAGAATAAATCACTAATGCAAACAGCAACATGGCTGGATCTTAAAAACATTATGCCAAATCAAAGAAATCAGACCCCAAAGAGGTAATGCAGTATAACTCTATTTATAATATAAAACTCTAGAATATACAAATTTAACTTATACCACTAGTAAACAGATCAGTGTTTGCCAGAATTGCTTGGAAATTGATTGGGAAAAACCACAAGGGAAATAATTGAGGTGAATGAAATTTTTTTAATTGAGGAGATGGTAAGACAGGTGCATAAATTTTGTCAAAACTCACCTAAATTTTTACTTAAAATTGGCAAATTTTGCTTATTTATATTGCATTCAATTGTATTCGTTGTATCCTAACATATCAAATTGTACTATACCATATTTTATTGTACTGTTTTATATTGTACAACATTAGAGTTAATTTCTAATGAGATTCTTATTTGTACATGAGTAAGATTTGATTTCTGCAAATCTGTCACTTTGAGACTTATAATTCTTTGAGTGGATTCACTATGGTGTCCTTCACTCCCTGGTACCCACCCAGATTATAAGTCCTCAGTGCTTGGAAGTACATCCTCACCCATCCCAATACATTTCTGGTATACAGCTGCTAAAAATACTATATTCTCATTCTCAGCTTACATAGAAAAAATTTAAATCTATCAAACAAGAATGGGTCTATTTTTAATTTTTAAAATTGTTTTAGAGAAGTATTTCAAGACAGCTCATTGCTTATCAATCACTTCCATGAAATCTACTCATAACAATCCCACCCCTCACTTCCCTGCCTTTCATAAAGCCTGTGCCCAGTGCGGTACTCGCATCTGCTCACACCAAACCACCAGAACAGATTGCACACATCGCTTCCCTTTCCTAACTTCACGGTCAACAATTTCAAGTTGAGAGATTGAAATCTTTTATGAGGAAATAGTTTGTATAAATATGTCAAGATATTCTCAACTCTCATGGATAACGAAAAAGAACAAATTTTAAAAACTGATTAAGAAGAAATAGTTTTATTAACACAAAAGTTAGCAAACACTTAAAAAAAATCAAGACTTTTTTTTCTTTGAGAGAGTTGGTTGTTAAACATTTACCTAAAAACCAGTGCCTTTATCCCAGTACTATATACAGTAGATTAGCCTTTATTATCTTGTATCATTGTCTGTTTTCTTCTTTGTGTTAGTTCCAATCCCCAAACTGGAATGTAAACTCTCTGAAAAAAAAAAATGTGCTAAGACTTCTATATCATCTGAATCCTTCACATAATGCACTCGGAATAGCCCTCGGTAAGTACTAGCTGATGGAAGAGTAGGAAGAATCTGGAATTCCCCATGGCAATGTGATTGAAGCAATTCACCAAGGGGACTGAACTGGCTACCCCTGAAAATAATGAGACCCAAACAATGAAGGATGCTTCTCTACAGTATCCTGGGGTAAATTGCACTGTTTTTCTTCTCGATCCTTCTTTGCATTTTTCCATAGAGACACAGAGAACAGAGAGAGCTGAAAGCTAACTTGGAAAACAAAGTGTTGCATGAGAGAGAGGAGGGTCAGTCAGTTCCGCTAATTTTGACTTAGTGGTCAATCATTTCAGAACTTAGCAGAGACCAGTTTCTGAGCTGTCCATCAGGGTCAGATCCTTATTAATTGACATTTTCAACTCCTTGTCTCTTTCAGGTGGCAAATGTGTTTAACTGTCCACATTAGAGTACAGCATAGGGTTAAGAGAGAGATAATTTTAACATTTATTTTTTAGTTTTCGGCGGGCTCAACATCTTTGTTTATATCTGGAGCTGAGGATCGAACCCGGGCCACACGCATGCCAGGCTAGTGCGCTACCGCTTGAGCCACATCCCCACAGCATAGGGTTAAGCAAAGCATCTTTAAATACCCACATGATCATCCTGGATCCTGTCTTCTTCCAGGTATTCTGTAGATTTTAAGCTCATTAGTTCTTGAATCAAGTTCTTGAATCAATTCCCATTC